CGGGGTTTCACCGTGTTGACCAGGATGGTCTCGATCTCTTGACCTCGTGATCCACCCGCCTCGGCCTCCCAAAGTGCTGGGATTACAGGCTTGAGCCACCGCGCCCGGCCCAGTTATTATCTTTTGTATGTTTCTTGGTGTTTAAATAATACATTTGAATTGCCAATTGCCTTTTTAGAAAGTAAGACTGTGTAACAGTTTTCAGTCACACCAGGAGGGTGCAAGCACCATTGTGCCCTTGCCAACATTTAGTATTTTCAATTTTTAATCTTTGGTAATTTGATAATATAAGTATTCTCTTATTTAAATTTGAATTTCTTTGATTATTAGTGTGGTTGACCATCTTGTAAATTATGTGTTGCCTTTACATTTTGGGTTCACCGTGTTTTTCTGATTTATTTGTGGGAACTCTCCCCCTTTAATACTGGTTTTTTTTTTTAATTCTTTTCCTTAAAAAAGTGATGATACGCAGGTTTCCAGCTCCTCGGTAGTGGCATTCTTTTTTTTTTTTCAGACAGAGTCTTGCTCTGTTGCCAGGTGCCAGGCTGGAGTGTAGTGGCGTAATCTTGACTCACTGCAGTCTCCGCCTCCTGGGTTCAAGCAATTCTCCTGCCTCAGCCTCTGGAGTAGCTGGGACTATAGATGCACACCACCAGGCCCCGCTAATTTTTGTATTTTTTAGTAGAGACAGAGTTTCACCATGTTGGCTAGGATGGTCTCGATCTCTTGACCTCATGATCTGCCCACCTTGGCCTTCCAAAGTGCTGGGATTACAGGCATGAGCTACCACACCCGGTCTAATATTGTTAATAATGGTCTTTGACAGGCATAGGTTTTAAATATATATAATCAAATCTCCTCCCCTTCCCACTTTTTTAATTGCTTATAAAAACTTGGAAAGTAATTATCTATCCTGTGTTTACCCTGGCTCTTTCATGAAGTCTATAGAATTACTTTATGCATATTTGTTTATTTGATAAGCATTCCCTCTGTTTTGTATGTGCTTTAAGAAGCTGTTTTGAGGCCGGGCGTGGTGGCTCACGCTATAATCCCAGTACTTTGGAAGGCAAGTGGATCATTTGAGGCCAGGAGTTTGAGACCAGACTGGCCAACATGGCAAAACCCCGTCTCTACTAAAAGTACAAAAAATTAGCTGGATGTGGGGGTGCACACCTGTAATCCCAGCTATTCGGGAGGCTGAGGCATGAGCAATTGCTTGAACCCAGGAGGCAGAGGTTGCAGTGAGCCGAGATCATGCCCCTGCACCCCGGCCTGGGTGACAGAGCAAGAGTGTCTCAATAAAAAAAAAGAAGCTGATGTTTCTCTCTCTCTCCCTCCCTCTCTAACCACTCCCCACACTCTTTTTTGGTATTTACTTTCATAGTAACTGAAATATTAAAGTGTTCTGTTACCTTCAGTCTGTTCTGAAAAAAATAGCTGCCTTTTAAGCAATCTCAAGATTTTTTTTTTTTTAGGTATACATTGTGATTCTCTGTAGGCTTACAGCATTTAATTCCTAGTTAATTTACTTAATTGCTTTGGTTTTTTTTCTTTACCTTTAAGATGTTGCATAAATGTATAAATTCTAAGGAATTCTGCCTTGTGAACTGTCTTACACCAAAAAGAGAATGTGCTGCTCTAAGCATGTTTTGTGTTAAAATAAATTTTCTGAATAGCTTGTTTCATAGTTATTCTTTTTTGAATCAGGTGAATTTTTGAGCTTACAGGTAAGAAAAGATGTCCTTTTCTTTCATATTATTCAGAGTTCCCAGGCTTACTTGGAGTGGAGCATAGATTCCTAGTTGACACTGGTTTTTTGCCACATTTGTGGGACCTCTCTACCTGCCTCTTCTACTTCCTTCTCTGTTACTTTGCTCCACCCATACTAGCTTTTTTGCTGTTTCAAGAACATACCAGAAACATTCCTGCTTCAAGGCCTCTACATTGACTTTTCCTCCTGCCTCTGATGTTCTTCACTTGGATGTCATTTTGACTAAGTTTTTCACGTTCAAGTCTCCTTAAATCCCACTCTCTCAGTGAGACTTACCTTGACCACTTTATTTAATACTGCACCTTGCCCTTGCCCTTTATGCCACATTCTGAACTCTCTTGCCCTGTTCTAATTTCTTTTTTCTATTTTCAGCATGTTCTAACATGCTTTCTCAGTTACCTATTTTTTATGTTTGTTGTTGATTATCAGTGTCCCTTGCTAGAAGCATAAGCTCACTGGGGCAGGGTCCTTTGTCTGTTTCATTTAGCGATGTGTACCAATTGCCTAGAATAGTGCCTGTAAGAGAAGGGTGCTCAGTGAGTTGAATCTGCCAGGTGACATCTGGAGTGGTTGGTGCATAAGTAAAAGAAATGATGATGGCCACATGTACCCCAGAACTTTAAGTATAATAAAAAAAAAAAAAAAAAAAGAAAAAAAAAAAAAAAAAAAAAAAAAAAAGAAATGATGATGCCTTTGGATGGATTCACATATCAGAGAATAAGGAATGGAGCACATGAACTTTTACCCAGATTCTTTGGGTTCTCTTTGTCTCACATTCGTGTTAAAAGGGACGAGTGTTCCAAAAGATGTAATATATTCCAGGGATTCAGGATTATATGTACAAATTTAAGTACATAGCAATGATTGAAGAGTCATCTCACTTTCTAGGATGACTTGCTGTCAGAAGAATATTTGTTGTTCTGTTATTTTACTCTCAGATTAATTATCTTTTAGGGTTGCCTTTTTTTTTTTTTTGAGACAGAGTGTTGTTCTGTTGCCCAGGCTGGAGTGTAGTGGCTCGGTCTCAGCTCACTGCAACCTCCACTTCCCAGGTTCAATTGATTCTCCTGCCACAGCCTCCCAGGTAGCTGGAGTTACAGGCGCCCACCACCATGCCTGGCTAATTTTTTGTAGTTTTAGTAGAGATGGGGTTTCACCGTGTTGGCCAGGCTGGTCTCCAACTCCTGACCTTGTGATCTGCCTGCCTCAGCCTCCCAAAGTGCTGGGATTACAGGCATGAGCCACCACGCCCGGCCTTTTTTTT